CTCCAAAGTATTAACTTTGTTTCTCTCTCCACTGATTGAGCCAGATCCACTTAGTTACTCCAGGTATTTCTCTCCTTATTCTGGTTAACCAGAAGTTTAACATATTCTCCTTTGCCTCTGGAAGTTTAGTTTATATCCAGTCTGAACTGATGGGATGAAAACCTCTTACTGCTGACTGTAGGAAGCCAATATAAAATGACAGTTGCAAGGAGTATGTAGCTACGTTACAAACTGTTCACAAGTCTAACACAAACTAACAACCTTCTTCAGGGAGGCCATTGTGTCTGATATGGGATGGTTTACACTGGCACAATGAAGGGTTGCTATCACTGGAATTTAAGCTTTTTCTTTAAACACTGAAGCAGGGGCTTTCATTGACATGTAGTTTCATGTTTGTACATGAGTTAATTATGTTCAATGCTGGCACTATGTGCCCAAAATGGAGACACATTGCATTCCCTAACATTGATAACCCACTATTGATGGAAAAATCACTTAAAAGTATGTTTAAAACTATTCAAGTAACTGAATAATATTTGGAATGTACAACTTAATAGACCAAGCGGCTTACTTTTGCTCCTTTTTTTAATATTTAAATCACAAGAAATGTGTAGATGAGAGATTTTGCAAATAAGGTTGCAAGTCCCAGATTCAATGGGACTCAGACCTCCAGGACAACAAAATACTCCCTCCCATACACTTCCAGCAGCCCGCAAGGTTAAAACTACCAGGTTACATATTGAGTACAGGCCTCTCCTGCCACCTGGTAAATTGGTATATTCATGAGATGAGGCCCTAAATTGAGCATTACTTGTCCAAAATGACCTCACTTAGGCAACATGCAGATGGCACATTTGAAACCTCCCCCATCACCCATAGAACTGTGGCAGGGCCAAATATGGATGCAGCCAGTGACACTTGCTATCCTTGAGGGTAATGAATCTGGGCTGTAGAGGATGGGTCAAGGCCACGATAGATTTTTAATCAGTCAAGAAATCGAGTGTTACAGAGAAAAGGCAAGAAAGTGAAGTTGACGATTAAGATTGATGCCTGGCTTTTGTATACAATTGCCAAAAGAATTTCAACACAAGTAAAGTTACTTTTTGGTAGGTAAAGTAGGAAAGGCACGTATCACTTAGAAAATGAACCTAAATAGAATATTTAAGCAAAGCGGCAAAGTTTACTGGAAGGAGCAGATTGCATTACAAAAAAAGGTCAGTCAGACTAGGCCTGCATCCTCTGGAGTTTAGAGATGACTTGATTGAAACATGCAGGATCCTAAGGGGACTTGACTGGTTGGATGTCTCCTGTTGTGGAAGAATCTAAAACTAGGGGTCATAGTTTAAAAATAAGGAAGCACCCATTTAAGACAGAGATTAGGAAACATTTTTCTCTCAGGGTTGTGTGTCTTTGGAATTTCCTTCCTCAAAAGATAGTGAATGTAGAATCTTTAATTATTTTTTAGGCAAACGTAGACAGATTCTCGATTACCCAATGGATGAAAGATTATTGGTAATATGCAGGATGGTAGAGTTGAGATTCGTATCAGATCAGTCGTGATCTTACTGACTAGCAGAGCAGACTCAAAGGGCAAAGTGGCCTGTTCTCATTTCATGTTCATATGTTCACATATTCATATTGTCAGACCAGCCGTGATCTCATTGAATGGCAAAGCAGACTCAGTGGCTGAATGGACTGCTTTTGCTCCTATGTCTTATGGTCTAATTTATACCCGAGTATTTTCCCACTGGAGCTGGCCCAGAAATTTCAGCCTAGCAATAAGCTTCTTGACTTGCCTCTGAATTACCTGCTGCGCAGTTATGTCTTAATGTTTCGTGAACCGTCACTGGACAATGGACTCAATGTGTGGCATGAATAGAGCACCAAATTTTTTAATCATGAGTTGCCATAACTTTTATGCTTCTGTTCTCGAGATAAGGAGGAATTACTTCACTCAAATGTCAGTGAATCTTTGGAAGTCTGTACCCTAAAGGGATGAGGAGGTCCGATCATTGAGTATATTCGAGACAGAATTGATAGATTTTAACATAACAAAGATATCAAGGTATATGGAGATAGTGTGGAAAAGGGTGTTGAGGTAGACAACCAGCCATAATCTCGTGAATGGCAATGCAAGAGGGTGGTGCTGAATAGCCCACCCCTGTTTCTTTTTCTTATGTTCCTATATTAACCATTTCAGCCCCCTCCATCTCCATTGATAAATAGATTTGCATTGAGGGAATCGATAATTTTAAAACTGAAATATATCAGTTCATCATACATGCACATTGTGGTTTTTATGGAGGCACATTTTGGGCCACAATTATTTAGCATATTTGAATGAAGTTCACACAGTTCACATGAGAAGTGAAGGAAGCTACCGATAATGAGGACTGAAAGAACTGCAGATGCTGTTAAACAAAATCAAAGTTGCTGGAATAAGCTTAGCAGGTCTGGCAGCATCTGTAAAGGAAAAAAACAGAGTAAAAGTTCTGAGTTCTGAGGAAGGGTCAAAACGTTAACTGTGTTTTTTTCCTTCACAGATGCTGCCAGAACTGCTGAGCTTTTCCAGCAACTTTGTTTTTGTACCGATAATGAGGTGCTGCTGACTGTGTCCCAGGTTTTTCGAAGTTTGTCTCACAATTTGATCCATTTTCCCATAAATTAAATAACTCTCCCTAATTTTCATTATCTCAGCCACCTGTAGGAGACTGAACATGGAAGTCTCCCTTTACATTTGCCTTCTTGTTTCTTTAATCATGTGCACAGTGGCTAACAGTCATCAGACCCATTAGTAACCCCACCCCTCCAGCTCTTATGGTAACTCATAAACCTGGTCCCATGGCTGAAGAGTCTTTTATTTCGTAAGCATTGGTCATCCTGGTCTCATTCTACAATGTTTTCTTGTACCCGCCCTGAAAGCATTGGAGCCTGTGAGTTCTAAATCTTAGCCCTTGATTAATCAGAGGAAGGAACCTAGTAATAAATTAATACATCCTACCAAACAGAGAGAGAACAGGGTACGCCAAGCACATGCTCAGCCACAGGGACAAAACAGCAATATTTGCCTGAGAGAAGTTTGCTGTCGTCAAATTAATAATTAGTATCAGGAGACTTAAAGGCACTCATGAAGCGAAATCAAAGAATAGTTGGTGTGGAAAGATGACCCATGCATCCTGTTCTCTATTTTAATAACACCTGCAAGCTTTGAATCACCCAATTCATGTTTTATTTAGACACGTGTTGTTGAAGTGGGATATGTAATAACAAACTCTCAAAATCTTTAATCAAAGGCTCAGTAATGTACAATTAGGACAATTAGACAGTGCTACTCAGTGTTGTTGCCAGGATTAATACAGTTCACTCAATGGTGAGAAGACTGGTGACTGCACTCATAAATCACGCCCTTTTATAGTCAGATGAAGGTTCACTTATGCAACCTTAATAGAGAGTTTTGTATACCTGATTAGAATGCATAGAGAGATTTTCTTCTTTCCTGTACCTTGGTGACATTCTGTTTCCAGATGCAGGAAAAAAGAACAGAGAGCTCTTATCTCCAATTTCGACCTCATGTTTGCTGAACAGAAATTTTATAGGAACCTTAACTTGTGTAACTGGACCTGTGCCTGCACAGTGAACTGAGTCTCACCCCTCCTGTCCCTCCTGCTTTACAGAGAAAGTATCAAAAAGTACCAGCCTGTGTCTCTTAGAGGAGACCGGTACAGGATTGTTTTATTGATTTTGTTCTATGATATTCAATTTTTTCTGCAACACTCGACACATTAATCAGGGCTATTTTTGCCACTCAGTGATTCCAACATTGAATGTATCATTTAGCATTTGAGGCCTGGGTCATTCACTTCCTAGCAATAATCAGCATGGATTCACTTACTCCTTAGCCTTATGCTCTGAGTCTTTCTTTTAATGAAAGGGATCCTAGGTTGCTGCATGCTGTAGATAGGAATTCTTATGAACAGCAGTAGAAGTAAATTAATGAGAGAATGATATGGACCAAAGCTGCGGTTGGCTTTTTCATAAATGCATGAATCTCAGGGTGGTTGCAGCACAGCAGGAGACAACTCATCCCGTTGTGGCCATGCTAGCCTTGTGCAAAAACAATTTGGCTCTCCAACATCCTTCTCCGATAGCCCTGCAAATCTTTTCTCTTCCACTGATTATCCAAAAATAAGGCTACGGTTGAGTCAGTCTCCAGCACACTGTCAAGCAGTGCATTTCGGATTCCGAACCATTCACTGCATAAAAGAACTTTTCCTCACATTACCTTTGTTATTTTGCTATCCACCCAAATAGATGTCTTCTGGTTCTTGAGCCTTCTACCAATAACAAAAACAACTTGTATAGCATCTTACACAACACAATAACTCATAGAACATTAGAGTTTTAGAAATCAAAGTGTGATGGAGGCATGTAAGGAAATATTAGATCAGATGAGCAAAAGCTTGCACAAAGAGGTAGATTTTAAAGAGTGCCTTAAAGGAGGAGTGTCGTAGTGACATAGATACAAGTTATTTCAGAGCTTGGGGCCAAGCACCTGATGAAACAGCCACTTATGGTATAGCAATTGTAATTGAAAATGCCAAAGAGGCCTGGATTAGAGGAGTGCTAATATCTCAGAGGGTAGTGGGTTGGAGAAAAGACAGATAGAGGCAAGACCATTGAAGGGAATTGAAAACAAGGATGAGAATTTTATTGACAATCTAAGGCCTCAATTAATAACTCTCAAAAACATCAAAGACATCAAGTATTTTCCCAGGAGTGAATTCCTCCATTGACTCTGATCATTTAAGTACTCTTTCTAAATCATGATTTAATCTCACAAACTTTGTCATGAATTTCATGATTATTGTATTGGCAAGGTGATATGAAGTAAGATGGGAGGAGGCCAATGTAGAGCATAAGCATTGGCAGAGAGATATTAGGTCGAAAGGCTTGTTTCTGTTATGTACTGTAATTTTCAATCTAATCCTATTCTCTTTCAGCAAGGGTCATTGAGTTCAGAAACGGAACTCTCCCAGTACTTTTCCAATCATGTTCCCAGCCAGTCGTCACTCTCAGATACAATGTTAACAGCTTCCAGTGAGGAAGAACATCTCCGGCAGAAGAGCATAAGTAACTCATTGGATGACAGTGTTCTTTCTCCTCTAAATCCAGGTTTGACTTATTTTAACTTATTTTTTTCCTTTTCGGCAATTAGGAACAGGAGTACACTATTCAGCACATCAAGCCTGCTCATATCTGATCATTTACTTGAACACACTTTGCTATACAATCACCATATCACATGATTCATTAAATACAGAAGTTTATCAATTTCTGTCTTGAACATGGTCAATGATTGAGCTTCCACAGCTTCTAGGGTAGAGAATTCCAAAGATTCACCACCTTCCAATTGCAAATATTCGTCCTTATCTTGGTCTACCCCTTGTTCTAAGGCTGTGTCCCCTAGTTCCAGATTTAGCAGCCGGCAGAAACATCCTCTCCACTTCCACTATGTAAGAGTTTGCTAAGTTTCAATGAGATCACCTCTTATTCTTTGCAATTCTAGAATGCAAGCTCCGTTTCCTCAATTTCTCACCACAAAACACACCTACCAACTAGAATTAGTCTGGTGAACCTCTGGTCCACTCCCTCTATAGCAAATACGCTCTTAATTACATGCAGAAACCACAGTTATACACAATGCTTCAGATGTAGTCACACCAGTGCGTTATAGAATTGCAGAAAGATATAGAGTCATAGGATCATACAGCATTGAATAAGACACTTCGTTCCAACTTGTCCATGTTGACCAAGTTTCCCAAACTAAACTAATCCCACTTACCTGCATTTGGCCCGTATTCCTCTAAACCTTTCCTATTCATGTACCTATCCAAATGTCTTTTAAATGTTGTAACTGTACCTGCATCAATCACTTCCTCTGCCAGTTCATTCCATACACAAACAATCCTCTGTGTGAAAAAGTTGCCCCTCAGGTCCCTTTTGAATCTTTCTCCTATCACCTTAAAAATATGCCCTCTAGATTTGAACTCACCCACCCTAGGGAAAAGACCTTTGCAATGCCCCTCATGGTTTTTAATCCTCTATAAGGGCACTCCTCACCCTCTTACACTCCAGTGAAAAAAGTCCCAGCCTATCCTCATAACTCAAACCCTCCAGTCCCAGCCACTTTTTAGTAAATCTTTTCTGAACTCTCTCCAATTTAATAATATCCTTCCTATAGAAGGGTGACCAGAATGTACACAGTACTCCAACGGCCTCACCAACGCCCTGTACAACCACAATATGACATTCCAACTCCTGTACACGATGGTCTGAGCAATGAAGTCCAGCGTGCCAAAAGCCACCTTAACCAATCTATCTACCTGTGATGCAACTTGCAAAGAACTATGTACCTGAACCCAAGCCCTACCATTAACTGTACAAGTCCTGCCCTTGTCTGTTTTACTAAAATGCAATACCTTGCATTTATCCAAATTAGGCTCCATCTACCACTCCTCAACACATTGACACAATTGATCAAGACCCTTTTGTAATCTTAGATAACCTTCCTTGCTGTCGACAATACACCAATGTTAGTGTCATCCGCAAACTTACTAACCATGCCTCCTAAATTCTCATCCAAATCTTTTACATAAATTACAAACTAAAGTGGACCCAGCACCGATCCCTGGTCACAGGCCTCCAGTCCGAAAAACAACATTCCACCACCACCTTCTGTCACTTACTATCAAGCCAATTTTGTATCCAATTGGCAAGCTCTCCCTGAATCCCATGTGATATAATTTTACTAATTAGTCTACCGTGCAGAACCTTGCCAAAGGTTTTACTAAAGTCCACGTAGACAATATTTACTGCTTTGCCCTCCAATATTTTTGGTTACGTTCTCAAAAAACTCAACCCAGTTTGTGAGACATGATTTCCCACACACAAAGCCATGCTGACTATCCCTAATCAGTCCTTGCCTCTCCAAATGCATGTAAATCCTATCTGTCAGAATCTCTTTCAATAATTTACTAATCACTGATATCTAATTTGCAGGTCCTTAATTCCCAGACCTCTCTACATAGCCTCTCTTAAATAAAGAAACAACATTAACCATCTCTAGCTCCTCACCCGTGGCTGTAGATGATACAAACATCTCTACTAGGGGCCCTGCAATTTCTTCCCTAACTTCCCACAACATCTTTGCTACTTTGCTCCAATCCTCTCGCAATGAAGATGATTGTACTATTTGCCTTCCTAATTTCCTGCTGCAGTTTTTAGAGTCTCATGAACAGGGACACCTAGGCTCCTTTTGACAGCTGCACTTTCCAACCTCTCACCAATTGATAAATACACTGTCTCAGTTTTGATAAAGTTACATTTACTCGCATTATATTTCCTCTGCCATGTTCTTGTCCCTTCCTTTAGCCTGTCTAAGTCCCCTATTCATGCTCACAACTTATGTTCCCACCTAGTTGTATCATCATTTATCTTAATTTTTCTTTAAGAAAATAACTTGGTGAGTACTCCCAAACGAATATAACAAAAAAAATTACATGTATTTTCAGTGCCCAACGAAATTGGAGTGCCAAAGCCAGAGGTGTCCTCCATCTCCCTTAGCAATGGGAAATCTGTTGTACCTAAGAACAAACATGTGGAAGTGGCTCGACAGGCCAGTCCAGGTGACAGCCCCAAATCAATTCGCAGCCCTCTTCTACGGCAGAGAAGGGTCATTTGCTATGATGACATCAGTGATGATGAAGACTTTGTGAAGGTTGAGGATAGCGCTCGACTCAAACGGCCTCAAATCACACAGAAGATGCCAGAGGAAGATTCAGGAATTATTATAGCCACGTCTTCTGTTGAAGTGGATGATGAAAGCCAAGATGGTGAGTTGTTGAGAAATGTCAGCAGCGATGGTGACCTACCTCAGTGCAGCAGCTCATTAGAGTCTGAGGACAGCTCAATGGAGCAAATGGTTGACTCGCCCTTCATGCCACTTAAATTCTTTGAATCGTCCAGTTCCACTGACACTAATCATAGCAACCTTGGGATCAAGGAGGGTCAGGTGGAGTCCAAGCGATCACCTAAACTTGAACACAAAGCTGTCACTCGAGTGAAGAGCATGATGAGCATTGAATGCCCACAAAACCTCTCGAAGCATAAGAATGAGGAGCATCATTCACCTCCCACCAAGCCCATTGCAAGGCCACTGCCTCATAGCAAAAAGACTGAGACGGGAGACACCTCAGTAATGTGCTGCACAGAAACGGTACATCTCACACGTGAAAGATCAGAATCATTTGGATTGGAGTTGGAAATCAAGGCTTCTCCTTTAAGAGTTCTGATAACAGGTTTACAACCAGGTGGAGCAGCAGAGAGAGTAAGTTAAAAGTTTGCCTGTTTGTTTCATTATTTATCACTTTTAAATTAATTAAACTCCTAATTGGAAATAACTCTCAAATTACCTGTGATCTTTGTAAATTTAAGTGACAATAAGAAGGTGAAAATATGGAATAAAAACCAAAAGAACTGCAGATGTTGTAAATCAGAAACAAAAGTAGAAATTGCTGGAAAAACTCAGCAGGTCTGGCAACAACTCGGGAGAGAAATCAGAGTTAATGTTTCGGGTCGAGTGACCCTTCCTCAGAGGAATTCTGAGGAAGGTTCACTCGATCCAAAACATTAATTCTGATTTCTCTCCCTGGATGCTACCAGACCTGCTGAGCTTTTCCAGCAATTTCTGTTTCTGTTTCAGGTGCAAATATGGGTTTGTTCCCTTAGTCAGTATTAAGAATAATGCAATTAACATAATTGAAGTACTGTAAGTACAGATCAGATGATGTTTGCTTGTGAAATGTTCATTATTTTATGGTGTGGTTACACTTTAACCCTGGTATTGCAACAGATTGATTTGAAGAGTGGTTAAACTGGCAACACTGAAGCAATTCTATTTGCAACAGCAATAGAGGGCTGGATTTTAACCATGCTAGCAATAGGCTAGAAGAGGGTTGGCCGCTGCTTGTAAAATAGCACCGGGGGGGTTGAGGATTGGAGGATTGCCCATTGCCTTCAAGCTGCCCTGCCACAGTGGGATGCCAGTGGTGGGGAAAGTCACATTCCTGACTTGTGCCTTGTAGATGTTGGTCAGGCTTCAGAGAGTCAGGAGGTGAGTTACTTGCTGCTATATTCCTGGTCTCTGACCTGTTCTTGTAGCCACTGTGTTTATATGGCTAGTTCAGTTCAGTTTCTGATCAATGGTATCTCCAAGTTGTTGATAGTGAGGAATTCAGTGATGGTAATGCCATTGAATGTCAAGCGGCAATGGTTAGATTGTCTCCTGTAGGGGGTGGTCATTGCCTGGCATTTGTGTGGCACAATTGTTACTTGCCACCTTTCAGCCCAAGCCTGGATATTGATCAGGTCTTGCTGCATTTGGATCTGTACTGCTTCAATATCTGAGGGTTGGGAATGGTGCTGCACATTTTGTAATCATACCCACTGGAGGAAAGGCCATTGATGAAGCAGCTGAAGACATTTGGGTCAAGGACACTACCCTGAGGAACTCCTGCAGAGATGTCCTGGAGCTGTGATGACTGATCTCCAACAACCACAACCATCTTCCTATGTACCAGATATGACCTTAAACAGCGGAATGGTTTCCTCCTAATTCCCATTGACTCCAGTTTTGTCAGGGGTACTTGATGCCACACTTGGTCATATGGTCCTGGCAAAACTTAACCTGGTCATCAGTGAGAAAGTTATTGCCGACCAGGTGCTGCTTGATGGCATGTTGACAATTCCTTCCATAATTTCACCAAAGATCGAGAGTAGGATAGTAATTGCCATGTTGGATTTGTCCTGCTTTTTGTGTACAGGACATACCTGGGCAATTTTCCACATTATTAGGTACATGTCAGTATTGTAGCAGTATTGAAACAACTTGGTCCTCTTGACCAGAAACCAAAAGGATCATGTCCAACTAGTGTCGGCTTTTACCAGCAGAGGGTGGACCCTCCACCACACAGGGGACCTCTGATAAATCTGATGCCCCTCCTCCAGTGGTAATGCCTGCCCTTATGACTGCACCCCTAACAACAACTGACATTTACCTTGTTCCAACAGTCATCCATTGCATCTTGTCACCTGAGTGCAGCACCAGCAGTGACCACCACTCCCAGTAATACTGCTGTTATGTGTTATTGTTGTTCCATTTAACTTTGGAAAGTTTTAGAACACTTTTAAAGAAATGATTCCATGCTGCTGTTCGGTAGTGGATGTAATTGACAGACATGTATGAGAACTTTGAGGAGGGAATAAGGCCAATTACTAGCTGCAGTCATTTTGACAAAGAGCTCATTGGCCATAGATCTTTAATTATGAATTGGATTGGGTCAGACAAGTGGTTCAAAATGCAGCCTGGCTTCGCTGGAATAATAACCAATATATGCAATTGTAATTGTCAATTTTGTGTCAGGTTAGCAAGGTATTTTGACCAAATCTGAATAAGATTGAGGAGTAGACTTCATTTTGAAGTTTATCTTTGGACAATGAATGCACTTACAGTAACTTTTGTTTTACAGAACATGGGAAAAGCAATATTTCAATGTATTATATGTTTCATTCATCTACCTCCTGTAATTGAGACTGTTTATTGATCCAAGGCTCAGTTTAAACATCTGAGAAAGGGGCACCGGACCCAAAACGTTAACTCTGATTTTTTTCTTCGCAGATGCTGCCAGACCTGCTGAGTTTTTCCAGCAACTTCTGTTTTTGTTCCTGATTTACAGCATCCGCAGTTCTTTTGTTTTTTTTATTTAGATTGCATAATTTGTCTGCTATGAAAAAAAGAATTACATGGCAGATTATGATAGGCTCTAGTGGCCCCGTGTACAGAGTATCAGTTCTTAGATGTGATCTCTGAGCATTGTTATCATTTATTGAGATGTTGTGGAGTGAACAATCTACTGTGGATTGTGGAAGATATGAGGTCTGCTTTTGGAAGTGGCCGCTGACATTGAGCTCCAAAAACATTTTAAAGGACATACAAACATTGTAAAGAACAAGAATATCAATGTTGACATTGGTCTGAATTCAGTCACATGAGCAGCTGTAGAGACTAAGTGTGTTTATGTATGATCTGGGATTTTTTTTTTCCCCTTTGTTATGCCTGCCCTCTGTAGGCCTTGATGCCTTCTTGGAGTGTATTTCAACAGTCCGTTAGCTCAGTTGGTTGGATGACAGAGTGACACCAACAATGCAGCTTGAATTCCTGCACTGCTGAGGTTGTCATGAAGGTCCCGCCTTCTCAACTTCTGTCCTCACCTGAAGCATGGGTGACCGTCAGGTTAAACCACCACCTGTCATCTCTCTCGCTCTTTCTCTCTCTCTCTCTCACAGGAGAGCAGCCCCTCTCTCTCCTCTCTTTGACAGGAGAGCAGCCCTATGGTTCTCTGGGACTATGACGACTTCACCTTGCTTCCATAGAAGCTGGAAATGCTTATTTGGGTGGCCAATTGTCAATTATGAGCAATTAAAATAGGCACTGTTGGCAGGTTATCTTAGCAGGTGAGTCAGCATCACAGTTGACAGTCACCTCCTGCTCTTTTAATACCAGCATTTGCTGCTGGAATTAACTGGAAGATGATCAGGAAGCCCTAATCTACTCCTCCCTTCCCCACCCAGTCCAACAATTAACCTGAGGCCAGCTTTACTTCTCCTCATGGCTGAAATCAGGTAACTCCTATCGAGCTGAGCCTGAGACATCCCACAGTTGGGTGCCTCAGCATCAAGCAGTATCTCATATGGCGAACTTACATTTCCATATTTAAATTTCATGTTTGCTGTTTCAAAAGTTTCACTTGTAGCTAGTAAACTCAGGACAGTTCAAAATTGTAGCCAGATTATTGCTTTGTCTGAATTGTGCTTTAAACGGTGTACTTTAAACTTTGTGATGGTTGAGTTTCTATAGTAATCAGCGTGCCTCACTATTCAATATTTAGACTTTACACTTTGCTCGTTTGTTATGAGACAATCACAGTTACACGCATAATCACCGGATTATTTTTTCCAGGAATCTAAGGGAAAGCTTGGTGCCGGAGATGAAATTGTCTTCATTAATAACACACCGGTCTTTAGCATGCCTTACCAAGAGACTTGCAACTTTATGTATAACCTCCCATCCTCCATCACACTTGAAGTACGCAAACCAGTATCCGGTAAGTAAAGAATTTTGTGTAGAGTTTGTGTTTGTGAAAAAGGTATGATTTTCTCCTATAAGGGTGCCTTCACTTCATGAGAAAGATGTATGCAAGCAAACCAAAATGGTTGCATTCCAATGCAGTTTCCTAGTGTATACCTAAGAAATTGTGTACCAAATGCACCCAATAGAAATTACTTATTTGCTTATCTATTAAAACTGCTTTCACAAAGAGACTGTCTAGGACCTACTTTCCTAATCAACCTGTTCAGAGATGTTATTACTCACCTTTGGACTAGGTGGGACTTGAACCAGGTCTCTCGGTTCAGGGTTAGGGACACTACCACTATGCCACAAAAGGGCCATGAGACTGTCTAGGAAGCTGATGCCAATTATTTAATTGACCTGATTAAATTCAGTCAATAAAAGAGGAAAGGAGGAGGCTGTTGAGGTGCAGTGGTAGTGTTCCTCCCTCTGGGTCAGATGGTTTGGGTTAAAGTTCTACCTCCTCCAGAGATGTATTATAACATTAGGGAGTTGGTTAGCTCAGTTGGCTGGAGAGCTGGTTTACAATGCAGAGTGACACTAACAGCATAGGTTCAACTCCCACACTGGCTAAGGTTACTATGAAGGGCTGTCCTTCTCAACTTCTCCCCCCTCCTGAGGTGTGGTGACCCTAAGGTAAGACCAGTACTAGTTATCTCTCGCTCTCTCGCTCGCTCTCTCTCTCTCTCTCGCTCGCTCTCTCTCCCTCTCCCTCTCTCCCTCTCATGAAAGCAGCCCTAAGGTCTGGTAAGACTATGGTGACTTTACCTTTATAAAAGGTTGATTGTCTTTCCCCTTTTAATTTTTCAATGTTCTAGACTGCTTGTGTTGATGATGTCTTACTGAAAAGCATTGTGTTTTGTTATATATTTTTTCCAACAAATTCTGTAATAACAGTATACTTGACACATTTTATCAAAACTTTTCACTTTTTTCAGTAATACTCAGTCATCCATACAGTACAGATGACTATTCGTAATTGCATTTAATTCTGCAGTTATCCAAAATTTAGCCTGTATTTAAAACCAGAATGGCTAGATAATCATTGTCTATTGCAATCTGTTTTTCACTTTCTCACTCCTGAAGCAAATTCAAGATAAAACTGGGCTTGTAATAATAGACCTGCATTTAGCCAGCATCACAAAATTTACTTTTCCCCTGTCTCTACTTAAACGTGTTGCTTTGGCCCAAGAAATGGGATGTGTATGGGACAAAAGAGGAGTGTCCTGCCCGGTAGTTGATGCCAGTCTTGTGGCTGCCAGTCTTCTAACTCCTGTGTATTTCAGTATTTATGAGACCTTTGCAGGAAAAGCCCAAGGACCTTTGTGAAATATGAAAGGTGAAGGTCTGAAAACATCTACTCATTCAGCAATACCGTTTTAACTTAGTACTAAGGGACTGGCAACTGTTGTCACCCTGCTGAAGAAATCTGTCAAGAAGGAGCACTATCCCTGAAGAAGGTCAAAACAATAAATTATTTAAATACGGAAGTTTCCCTGTGTGCCCATTTGTGGTCAGGCATACTTGTCCAGGCCTCACTCAACAGTCCTTGAGTAAAGGTCCTCCCTCGTGACTGGAATTCTGACCCTCACTCTCAACCACTTACCTGACTATCTCTATTTCTATCCACCTGCTCCACTTGACCGACTCCCCACACCTCGTCCATCATCGCTCATTTCTCGTGCAGTACTGTGGGAGCTCTAAATTGTCACAGGTGCCAACTTTTGATTGAGGTGTTAAACCAAGGCCCTCAAGTGAATGTAAAAAGTCCTTTCACAGTGGTTTGCAGAAGAACAGCAACATTACCCCGGTGTCCAGGTCAATAAATTCTTCCTGTCAATATCACAAGAAACAGATTATCTGATCATTATCACATTTATAGGAGTTTTCTGAAGGCAAAACTGGCTGTTGAGTTTCCCCACATTATAGCAGTGCAGCACATCAAAAGTGCCTGAAAAGCACTCTGAGATGCCTGGCAGTCATGAGAAGTGTGATACAATTTTTTTTCTTTCATTGATGCAAGCTTCAAGATATCGTTGGACATGAATTAATGAACATAGATTCAATGGCAAATATTTGCATGGGATGCCGCATTTCTATTTTACTCTAACTGGGGATGGCTGCTTAGCAAATTTCAAAAAGGTAAAGTTTGGTAACATTTGTAGATTTATGGAAATAAACAATTCTAAGCCATTAAATTGATAATTTAAATCCTTAGAATCCCTACACTGTGGAAACAGGCCATTCGGCCCATGAGTCCACACCAACTCTCCAAAGATCATCGCACCCAGACCCATCCCCCTATCCTTTCCCTGTGACCCTACATTTCCCATGGCTAATGCACCTAAACTACACATCTCTGAACACTATGGGTAATTTAGCATGGCCATTCCACCTAATTTGCACATCATTGGATTGTGGAAGGAAACCGGCAGAGACCTACGCAGACAGGGAGAACGTGATACTCTGCATAGACAGTCGCCCGAGGGTGGAATTGAACTTGGGTCCCTGGTGTTGTGAGGCAGCAGTGCTAATCACTGAGCCACAGTGCCACCCTGAGTAATGTAAATGAGTAATAAAAATGGCCATTGAAAAGTGCCAAGCAACGGAGCTAATTAAGAAACGAGTTTCTAGCTTTTCTGTCTAAGAAGCAGAGCGGAGATAACAGTGTTACAGTGAAAAGGCAGGAGATTGGCACTAATTCAAAATGCTCATTCAGCATGTGGGTGCAGGCAGAATGGGCTGAATGGCCTCCTTCTGCACCATAACAATGTTATGACTAAGGACTGGAAGCAGATTGTTTCTCAGCCTGGAATTGCTGCTCTTTCCAGCCAGATTTGTGGATAGGGTTTTTTTTTGGAGAGAGAGGAGGCTTTACAATCTCTTTTGCGGCAAGCAGGCACATTGTCATCCCCCATACCTGATCCACTCCCTGATTTGGAGCCTCTCCACCCCTTCCCTTACTGCAGCCATCTGGCAGGGACCAACCCTTGTGTTCTCTCTCCCACTTGGACAGACGTGCTGTCGATGCCCTTTGTGTGCAGGTCTGAATGAAGCTACCCAACGTTCTTCCAATCAGAAAGTATTTCTCTCCCATGTGTACCGCAAATGAGGAGCATCTCCTTGCACAGTCTTTCACTTGTACGTCCTGTGTTTGGAACCCGATAGCGGCTGGTGGACAATGACAGAGGCCTCACATCAGCAAATGGGACCAAATGAAATACCTCTCCTGCCATCTCCACAGTAGCTCTCAGTATTTTAGTCCATGTACTAAATAAAAAGTTTCTACGTGTCACACCTGCATAAAAATGATCTTTAGATCATTTGGCAGCCTGAGGGCAGATGGATTATAATCCCATCATCTGTGTCTCAGACTGATTGATCCCAAATTCAGAGACATTTGTTTTTTCTGTACAGGGATGAAAATTATTCACAGTTCTGGAATCCTATGAAATATTGTACTGACAGAAATCAGAAAACTAGACTCTCATCCAACCATATGGTTGGATAGTACATAGAACACAGTACAGGCCCTTCGGCCCACGATGTTGTGCCTATTATCCTACTAAGATCAATCTACCCTGCATACACTACATTTTACTATCTTCCATGTGCCTATCCAAGAGTCGCTTAAAAGTCTCTAAAGTATCTGACTGCACTACCACTGCCGGCAACGCATTCCACACGCCCACCACTCTCTGTGTAAAGAACCTACCTCTGACATCTCCCTTTTACCTCCCTCCAATCACCTTAACATTATGCCCTCTCGTAATAGTCATTTCCGCCCTGGGAAAAAGTCTCTGATTCTCCACTCTATCTATGCCTGTCATCATCTTGTACACCTCTATCAAGTCACCTCTCATCCTTCTTCGCTTCAATGAAAAAAGCCCTAGCTCCCTCAGCCTTTCCTTATAAGACCTGCCCTCCAGGTCCAGGCAGCATCCTGGTAAATCTCCTCTGCACCCTCTCTAAAGCTTCCAATTCTTTCCTATAATGAGGTGACCAGAACTGAACACAATATTCCAGTGTGGTTTAACCAGAGTTTTATAGAGCTGCAGCATAACCTTGTGGCTCTTAAACTCAATTCCCCTGCCAATGAAAGCCAACACACCATGCGCCTTCTTTACAACCCTATCAACTTGGGTAGCAACTTTGAGGGATTTATGGACGTGAACCCCTAGATTCCTCCATTCCTCCACACTGCCGAGAATCCTGCCATTAACCCTGTATTCTGCATTCCAATTCGACCTTCCAAAATGAATCACTTCACACTTTTCTGGGTTGAATTCCATCTGCCACTTCTTTGCCCAGCTCTGCATCCTGTCAATGTCCCGTTGCAACTGCAACAGCCCTCCACATTGTCCACAACAACTCCACCAACCTTCGTGTCGTATAATTTAGTGATGGGAGGCAGAGTCTTTCAATTGAGATGGAGTGATTAGAATCCTTGCAGTGTGCAAACAGGCCCTGTGGCCCAAGAAGTCCACACCAACTCTCAGAGCATCCCACCCAGACCCATCCCCCTCAGTGCTGAATCTATTGTCCAATAAGAAAAGAGGAAGCCTTTAACAAGACAGCAGAGCTTCTGAGTTAAGTTAATAAGATGCATGCTTAACTATTTTGTGGTCAGGGTTGGTGTAAACCAATAGAAACTGCTGACTGTGGCACAAATAGGGTACACATGGAATGTGCTGTCAGTCATTTTTGGTTAACATTTGGTTGACAGGTCACATTTTGACTACTTTCTGCAGTCATTCCTAACATTTAGTAGGAGAGAAATCAAGTAACTTGCCACCTCCCCACCACTCCCCAAACACACGTTCACGTACACAGAGACACAAACTCACAGAAAAGGAAATACAAGAAAACTGGTGCAGGAATAGGTATTGGCAATGGCTGAGTGGCAGTACTGCCATCTCTATACCAGAAGATTTAAGTCTTATTCCAAGGATTTAAATATATAATCCAGGGGTACATTTCAGTGCAGTACTAAGGATGTGTTGCATTGTTAGTGGTGCCACCCTTGGGGAAATGTTAAACTAAGACCTTGTCTACTCTCTCAGATATACATAAAAGTCGCATGGCACAATTCAGAATGATTAAAGGAGTGGTGTTGGTGTTCAGACCAACATTTAATCCTCAATTCAGTAAGGCAGATGAGTTGAAGGTACAGATTTATTCCTGGAAAATGCTATCACAGAGGCATGTGGGATTTAAGGTAGTAATGGAAAAGGTCAGGAAATAAAGATTCTGAACTGGGGGAGGGCAGATTTTAGTATATAAGACAGGACCTGACCGAAATGGACTGGAATCAGCTATTTACAGGAAAATCTACATCAGAGCAGGAGGAGCCATTCAAAAGGGTAACAGTGAGAATAGAGGTCCAACATGTGCTTGTACAGTTGAAGAGGGAGATCAACAAATCAAGAGAACCCCAAATGTCAAGGAATGTACAGGATTGGATAAGAAAAAAAGGGAAGCAATGGAAAGGTAGACACTGAGGGCTTAAAACAGCAGAAAATGCAGAGGGTTACTCAAAGACTAATTAAGAAAGTGAAGCAGGAGAATGAAAAAACGTAACAGGTAAACTAAAGGAAAATCTACAGGCATTGTATTAAGTATCTTTGTGGCGAGATGATTACCAGGAAAAGAGAAGTGTTCATTAGGGACCAAAGTAGCAATCTGTTTGTGGAGCCAGAAGATATAGGTAAGGTTTCAAAAGAGCATTTTGTATCTGCACTCAATATAAGGAAGGATGATGTAGGTATAGAAATCAGGAAGGGTGCTGTAATATACTTGAACAAATTAGGTATCAGAGGTTTTAGTGGACTTAAAATTAGATAATCCCTCAGCCCAGATGAGATGCATCCTGGGGAGGAGATTTTAAAGGCCCTGATATTAATTTTCAAATCCTCTCTGGCCATAGGAGGACAGAAGAACAGCTAAAGCAGTACCATTATTGAAGAAAGGTGGTAGAGAAAAACCGGGAATGTACAGTTCAGGGAGTCTAACATCCCATTGGTCATGAAATCAGCATTTGGTTTTGCATTGTGGACAAACTGCAGTCTTGGCAGCATCAGAGGAGCAGGAAAGCTGATGTTTCGGGTCGGGACCCTTCTTCAGAAATGAGGGAGGGAGAAGGGAGCCCTGAAATAAATAGAGATAGGAGGGGTGGGGCTGGGGAAGGTAGGTGGGATGGTGAAAGATGAGTGCAGGTAGGCAGTGGTGGGGATTGGTCAGTGAGATGGGTGGAGCGGGTAGGTCGGAGAGAAGATGGATAGGTCAAGGAGGCAGGGATGAGAGGGAGATAGTTAGGAGAGAAGACGGACAGGGCAAGGAGGTGGGGATGAGAGGGGCTGGGGAAGGTAGGTGGGATGGCGATAGGTGAGTGCAGATAGGCAGTGGTGCGGATTGGTCAGTGAGGTGGGAGGAGCAGATAGGTGGGAGAGAAGACACAGGTCAAGGAGGCGGGGATGAGAGGGAGGGTTGGTCATAGGATGAGGCCGGGGGTAGGGAGATTTTGAAACTGGTAAAGTCCACATTGAGACCATTGGGCTGTAGGCTGCCAAGGCAGAATATGAGGTGCTGCTCCTTCAGTTTCCGGGTGGCGTTGTTGTGACACTGGAGGTGGCCCAGGATGGACATGTCGTCCAAGGAGTGGGAGGGGGGGCTTGAAGTGATTCGCGACTGGAAGGTATTGTCGTTTGTCACAAACCGAGCTCAGGTGCTCTACAAAGTGGTCTCCAAGCTAAGCTGAGACCGCTTTGTAGAACCCCTGCGCTCATTTGCGACAAGCAATAATACCTTCCAGTCACAAACCATTTCATCTCCTCCTCCCACTCCCTGGGCGACATGTCCATCCTGGGCCTCCTCCAGTGTCACAACGACGCCACCCAGAAACTGGAGGAGCAGCTCCTCATATTCCGCCTTGGGAGCCTACAACCCAATGCTCTCAATGTGGACTTTACCAGCTTCAAAATCTCCCCACGCCCGGCCTCGTCCCAAGACCCTCCCTCTCATCCCCTCCTCCCTGACCTGTCCGTCTTCTCTCTCACCTATCCGCTCCTCCCACGTCACTAACCAACTCCCACCACTCCCTACCTGCACTGTCCTATCACCATCCCACCTACCTTCCCCAGCCCCAGCCCTCCTTTCTCTATTTATTTCAGAGCTCCCTTCCCCCTCCCCCATTTCTGAAGAAGGGTTCCGACCTGAAACATCAGCTTTCCTGTTCCTCTGATGCTGCCTGGCCTGCTGTGTTCCTCCAGCTCCACACTGTGTTATCTCTGACTCCAGCATCAGCTGTTCTTATAATCTCAAACTGCAGTCTTTATTCATTCTGTTTGTATTTGCTTTTGCTGGCTGGAAATAAAAGTTCATATTTGGAATTGTTCCGTTGCTTGCCTGTACGTCATGTCCTCCAACTTGACAATGATAATTTTCAATTCTCCAGTGGGCATTGGAGACAAAATAATAGTGATTTAGAGGATGTTTAGACAGGATGTAATTAAAGACAGGTAAATTGTGTTGCAGTTAAGGTGAGAGAATGGAATTGAATGGGTGAGAGAGTATCAGCTATGCCAACTATGTGCCATGACTGCTCTGTGCTATGACATTTCTGGTGAGGGGCAACACAGACTGCCAATGCTTGTCTGGATGCTCAGCAACCTTTTAAAGATGGTGCCAGCATCGGGGATACTGGTCTTTGGGAAGTTGTAGTAAGACGGGGCTAGAATTGGATGTGAGGAATGCCATAGGGCTGGAATAGGTACTTAGTGAGGCAAGTTGGCAAGATACAGTGAGAGAATTCACTGAGCTTATTGGTGAAAATCCCTCCAAAAGAACTCATTTATGAGTAAAATTCACCCCATTTTATCAGAGCTTTTTGTCTTGCAATCATCAGGAAAATTTGCAAGAATATCAGCTTAAGATGAAAACCAACATTTATGCTATGTGAGAGAAATGCAAGATTGACAATTTTTTTTTGGCAGTGCTCAAATATGGCACTACCAAATGGCTGTTTCAAATTTCAAGACGTTTACTCTAGCAAACAAACTGAAAGCAACATCAACTAAACATTAATTAACAGGCTCCAAATACTTTTAACTACAGAAAAGATAACCCTTAATAGTGTCCAAATACCACTGGTAACCACAATGCGCCACATATATTCTTTGTAGCATGCCCTCTGCAAGATTACAGCTGTTACAATGATCAAGGAACTGTGCCATCTTCTTCAACAGGACCTAGAACTAGTTGGACATGATAGCATTGCTTGGAGCTGTTACTGTTTCCCTCAACCTTGACAGTAGGTCCTTTCACGAAAAAGCAGAAAACATAACACACATTTCCCAGCTCACCAACCAATCCTGCATGAGGGAGTTGACAGAGATCCCATACCCTAGGAGAGAGGGTCTCTTTCCAGAGAGAAGCAGGAGGATCCAGGACTATTGGCACATCTGAGAAAAAGTTTCTCTTGCCTGTTTCACTATTTGCTGGCCCTCTCCTTACAGCCACTTGCACTACATGCAGTCAGTGGTATCTTCTGTGTAATCAGAACAGTTCCCCTTAGAGTGGGACAGGCCAGCGGAAACTCTTATTAGGCACACGTCCCCTATGGAAACTTCAGCCTGCCAGGACCATGGGTTGCGTTAAATTAATTCTACAATAATTGAAATAATCAGATGCCATGTAGTTTGCGTACTGCCTGCCTCAACAATATCTGGGTGCAAGCTAATCACAAATGTAACCGTTATACCCCAAAACAGGACAATCCAATTTTTAGCCTTTAATGATTTACTGTAAGCTAACTTGCATTTAATAAACTTTATTATTTCAGATAGGAGCTCAGAAATTATATTCCCACCAATTGCATAATTTCTTCTTCCTGCTCCAACTGTAGGAAGGACGGGGTTAATACAATATAATGCATGGATTATCCTGTCATTCCAGTGCTAATCATTATAGATTCATTTAAGTATGATTCAATATATAACAAGATTTGAAACATGACAATATTGTTGAATGCTTATTTTTTTCTGCAGCTGTGGACAGATTATCAACGCTCATCTCATCATCTTCTACAGATCTGAATTTAGTAGAACCTGATACTGTAGAAATTGATCAAAATATGATTGCCAACAAAAGCAATGCACAAATGTTTGAAGACTTTATGAAAAACAGAACAACAAGCTTGGAAGTGCAGCCCCTGGAAAAACCTACTGGAGACAATATGGTGGAAAACAAAGTAGTTTCACAGGATTGCAGTACCTTGCCACACAGTCAAAGATCTGACATCCCAGTTACAGACATCGATGATGTTATCAATCAATTAGATTCTGTTGAGGATGACATCCCAAATACTTCACCTTTGAATTCAGAAAGGAGTCAAGTTGATGTTGCTGCTCATTCAATAATAGCTATCAACAACACAAATGATGTCAGTAATAAAGGTGACTCTTCAATAGGCATCACTCAAGAAGTTCTTGACTATTCTGTTCTAAGTTCAGTCAACACCGGCAAAGTATTTTCGGTAAACAAAACATGTCTGACTAACTATTCCAGAAACTTAAGTACTGAGAAGAAGGACAAACTATTGGGTTTAACAGACATCAAGGAAAATAGTAAACAACAATCCATGTATGCTGCTGCAGTGGACTCTGATTCAGAGGCAGAATCTTTGGATAGCCCTCATTCATCCTGTAGTAAAGTGGCCCTGGGTTTACCTGGAGATGTTGTTTTCACGCAATGTGAAAGCCTTAGTATTGCAGATTCAGATACAGAAGAGGTTGAAATCTGCTTCCAGCCTAGTGATCAAGCTCAAACACCACAGCAATTTGTGCAACTTCCAACAAATCTGAACCAGGAGGTTCTGCATGAGAGTGACTTGTCAATGACTAAGCTTGCTCCAGAAGCGGGTAAAGGGACAATTTCAGCAGATAAAAAGACAAATTCAAATCTGCCCTTTTCGTACCATGAAAATGAGCATAGTTTAATCTATTCCACCCCGCCTTCCAATTTTGATATGACTGGAGTAGAGGTTGCCAAACAGAGCCTAATGCCAAATCATATGACTGATAGACTTGTTGAACCAATAAAATCTGAAAGCACAAGTATCCTTACGGCTTCTTATGTAAATGATTCACAAAATAAACATTTAGGATTTGATCCTTCTTCCAAGCAGAATCTGCCAATAAATTCTCTGGAAGACACAGGTGTGATGACCTTTCATAATCAAAAAGATTCAGACAAAGGCCAATGTATCGAAGAAGACACCAGGGAATTTGATAAAAAGTTGGAACATCACAGTGATTCTGCCTTTTCTCCATCAAAACTTCAGTCAGAATCACGTTTGGAATTGAATAGAACAGACGATTTTTCTTCATCACAAGATGCCTTGAAGCATTCTAAGAAAGCAGAAATTACAAAAGCAAGTCATGATTCCTTGTATCCAGTGCCCAAGCCCAGGTTATCTGCTATAAGTAAGCCAAATTTGGGTTCTCAGAATGTTGCCTTATCTATGATTCAGGTCAGAAAGGAAAGACTGACTTTGTCAGGTAGTGGCAAAAATTCTACCCCCCCTGCCACAAAGACAAAATCAGTCCAAACAATCCTTAGGAGCACAAATTGGGAAACCTTCCATGCCATTTAAAGGACAAAATGAAAGTGGTGCAGCATCTCAAATGTGTACTAGATCTAAGTTTCAGGACAAAACGCAGAAGTTCTATTCTGCACCAAAACTAAAGGGGCTCAGCATTAAAAGTAAAAACAAACCTCCATCTGAAACCAATGAGAAGAGTGCAGCAAAATCTGATGGATTCAAAAAATCAGAAACGTTGCAGAAATGTCCAGAAAAGTTGGCAGTTTGTGATCATCAATCATCAAAACTCTTCACCAAAAGAGCATCTTTGACATGTAATATAAAAGCAAATAAACATCCTGAAAAAAATAAATCCGAAGCAAAGAATGAGAAAGAAATCAGTAACATTCCTGTACATTCTACGGGAGAACAGCTTTCAATACATTTACCAGTAGATGATAATTTCCAAACAAGAGAGAAAGATAAGGGTGAAACAAAGACCTCCGATATCACAGGTAAAGTGGATTTGTGCAACGAACAACAAAGACAAGTTTTGAAAGAAGATCCTAAAAATCAGAAAGAGATAGATCAACAAATAATACTGGATCATAAACGAAAAGAGGAAGAACCCAAAGAAACTGTATGGATTAGAGATCCTCATAAATCATATGGGGAATCAAAAAATTATGGAAATCAAGAAAGCATTACACAAATATCCAGTGAAACATCTGCTGAACAATATGTCACATCTCCTGTAGAATTATGTCAGAATACTAACATGACCAACGAAAACCAGGCGAACTTGGCTCATGAAGCACAGACAGTAGAGGAGAAACTATTACAAAAAGAACAGGTGGATGAACATTTACCACCTTCAGGATATAAATCATTGGAAGAATCTACTGTACTCTCATCCTCATTCAATGAAGTCGAAGATCGAGAATGCATAGCAACCCGACGGAGCTTTATCGAATTAAAACTAATATCACCTCCATTGGAGAGGAAAGAAGTTAATAACATAGCTACTCCTACAGGGTTTTTGGAGCACAAGTCAGAGAAATGCTCTATAGTTCAGGATAATGCCCAGAAACCAAAAATAGCTCCTAAACCTCCCGTGAGCTTAGAGCAGAGACCAGTTCAATTAAGTAGTGATGACACACAATTTGATAAGAATCCATCTGAACCCTATCTCATTAAAGCTTCTCAAAGACAGAAACTGTCACTGGAGAGAGAGGTAAAATCGTTTGACACATCACAATTGCACACTGTTAAAAGTACAGATAATGTTCAACCAAATGTTGAGGCAACAGGAACCTTAAAGAAATCTTTGAGTGAAGAAAAACACTCCAGCACAGATTTTATCTTCTGTCAAAGAGACAAGGATAAATCAAATAGGGGAAGTTTAACAAATGAGCTGAATTGTCCACCAGAAGGAGGCTCTTTTTCTGTCAGACAGAGAATTAAGTCTTTTGAGAGCCTAGCTAGCTTCGACAAACCAGTAATCAGGAAAATAGACACACATTTTCTAGACTCATCCTTTGTTATTTGCAATGCCAACTCATCTACCAAGCCAGCAATAGGAAGGCGAATATCAGGAAGTGCAATACCTCTAACAACATCTAATATTTCATCTATTCGAGACTTTGATGCATCACGTGCATTGAGACGTAGTTTGAGCTCCTACACTGAAGGGAGGTCTGAGATTGCCTTTCCATCACCACAATTAGAAAAGTCTCCCTCAAGTGTGGCTTTTCTCAATTTCGAACCAAATCGTTCGAAGAGCAATGCTGAGGAGCTTAAGAAGACCAAGGAATGTGAGTCTAGTAGCAAAAGGTCTCAGGAGCAGGATTTAAATTCATGCAAGGTTAACAACAGTAAAACTCGATCGTCAGTCAACCATCGACCAAACTCTTTGTCTCGGTCCAAGCTGCGGGAACTGAGAGCATTAAGCATGCCAGATCTTGACAAATTGTGCAGTGATTATTCTAGTGATCCAACAACCCAGAGCTTTAAAACTGAACTGGAAGTCAAGCCAAGAACATCTATTGGTCTTGCTGCTGAAAGCCTTACAAATGTGTCTTCTGGAACTGCTTCTGCTACCAGTGGTTCTGGTTCAGTGAAAATCTATAGATCTGGAATTTCTAATTTCAGAACAAAGAATTCCTGGAAAAGCAGCAATGGAACACTAGATTCGTGGTCTGATGACGAGCTGGCAAATAGTAAGAGTTTGTCGGACAACAAAAGCAGAAGTTGGTCAGTCAGGTTAGTAAGAATATTGCCTGAAGCTACATACTGAATTATATTGATTTAAAATAGGGAATAATTCATTGATGTTCTCTAAATGTCAAGAGCAGGCAAATGTGCAAAAGAACAATACACTCAAATTATTTAAGTTTGATGCAAGTTTGATGGCAGGGTGCATCAGATGAGAAGGTAGTGTCTCTGCCCTGATTAAAGCCATGGGAAGAAGGATCATGGACATCATTCCTACCCCACTTCCAATTGAGGCCCTAAGTTAAAGCCCAATAGAGGACTATGTCCAAATGCTGCTGCTCAGCGGTGGGAGGAGAACTTACCATGCAGGAAACCGAAAAAGCATAATCAGAATTTCTTGCAGGGTCTCAGGGTTGGGCAGGGAGAAATTCCCTGTTCAAAGGCACTCAGTGCTTGAGCAAGGGACGCAGTTTTGGGAAGGGGAGACCCTCTTGAGAATCACCTTCCTGCCCAACTCATTTCATTACTGAACCATAGGAGTCAGGGTTGATATTCTGAGGGTCCATGAACACATATTGTTAAATCCTGGACAACCTGATCTCTCTTGATGCAATTGTAATCATGCCCATATGTTGTAGTGGTCCATTGTTGCTAGACAATCAACTGTAAGTGGAAGTTAAAACGTAGTAACAGTTTCAGGCAGATGTAATTCAGTCAGTTTACTCTGCCTGACAATAGTATTGCCTTGGAATATTTCTATTAGCCCTGAATCACATATAGAGACAGATCAAAAGAGTTAAATTCTTGGCTTTCCATTCTTTTGACCCTTGACAATTAGTGAATATTATGTTTAGAATAATTAGTCAATCTTCTAATCTCTATGTTGCTGTTTCTCATCTCTTCTATATCTCTCTCATTTCCTGCCAACGTATCCTTTCTGCATTATTCACTTTGTCTTTTTCTTCTTCCTTTGCTGGAGAAATAAGTGGAATAAGTTCATAAGACATAGGTGCAGAATTAAGCCATTTGGTGCATCAAAGTCTGTTCTGCCATTCGATCATGGCTGATATGCTCCTCACCCCCATTTTCTTGCCTTCTCCCCATAACCCTTCAACCCATTACCAATTAAAAATCAGTCTGTCTCCTCCTTAAATTTACTCACTGTCCCAGCATCCACCACACTTTTGGGTAGCGAATTCCACAGATTCATAAGCCTTTGGGAGAAGTAGTTGCTCCTCAACTCTGTTTTAAATTTGCTACCCCTTATCCTAAGACTATGACCCCTCATCCTAGAATGCTCCACGAGATGAAGCGTCTGTTCCACATATATTTTATCCACACCTTTTATCATATTGAATACCTCAATTTGATCACCTCTCATTCTTCTAAATTCCAGAGAGTTTAAGCCTAAACTGTTCAATCTCTCTTCATATGACAAAGCTCTCATCTCTAGGATCAATCTGGTGAACCTTCTCTGAACTGCCTCCAATGCCAGTACATCTTTCCTCAAATAAGGGGACCAAAACTGTGCGCAATACTCCAGCTGCAGTCTCACCAATGCCTGGTATAGTTGCAACAATACTTCCTTACTTTTATACTCTAATCCTTTAACTATAAAAGCCAACATTCCATTCGCTTTCTTTATTATCTGCTGTACCTGCATGCTAGTTTTCTGTGACTCATGAACAAGGACACCCAGATCCCTCTGCACCAGAGCACCCCAAAGTGTCTCCCATTTAGATAATAGGCCACCTTCCCATTTTTCCGACCAAAATGCATGACCTCATGCTTATCCACATTAAATGCCATCTGCCACATTTTGTCCCACTCTCCTAACCTATCTATGTCCATTTGTAAGGTTCTTATTTACTCATTGCTATTGACTGTCCCACCTATTTTTGTGTGATCCACAAATTTGGCTATAGAACCTTCTTTCCCTGTATCCAAGTCGTTAAGGTAGATTGTAAATAGCTGGGGTCCAAGGACTGAAACCTGTGGCTCACCACTTGTTACTTCTTACCATCCAGAACAAAACCCATGTATCCTGACTCTCTGTCTTCTATCCATCAACCATGGAATGGCCTGGTGTGGCTGAGATAGAAGTCACCAAAGATAGAAGCTTGTTGTACAGCATTTGTGTTAGGGTGTGGACCTCAGTGTCTATCTCAACTCCAGTCTGACGTCCTGTCCTCTATTTTTTCACCTTTCTACCCTTCGTTCTCATCATCCCACTTTGGTTCTTTCCTCCAAATAATTTTAAGAAAAGCTACTGGACAGAAAGTACTTTAACTAGAATAACAATATCCAACCAATCTAGCTGCTTGAGCTAAGTCAAATGCATATAGAATCTAGAAACAAAGAATTATTTGCATTCCAGGAGGCTATTCAGCCATGTCCATGCCATTCAACAAAGAATTATCCAACCTTCTTCCACTTTCAGTTTTTGGTATGTAGCCCTGTAGATCATAGCACTTTGAGTGCATATTCAAACATTTTTAAATGCGATGCGGGTTTTGCCTCAATCATTCTTTCAGTACTGAGTTCCAGAGCCTCACCATCCTCTGAGTGAAAATATTATTCGACTTCCCTCTATTCCTTCTACCACTCGTTTTATATCTATGTCTCCAAATTATTGTAGGGTGGATTTTATGGATTGCAAATTTGCTCACACTCCTGCTAAAAAGTCATGAGTCTGCCCATGATCCTGACCCAGCAATTTATCACTGGAAGCAATGTTAATGACCTTAAAGTGAGAGTCCCACCACTTTCTTGGGAGGATGTTCCATGGAATTGGCTGGTTGCTCTGTAGTCCCACCACTGCCAGCAGGAATGATGAAAATTGCTGCGACCACAGACCCATCTTCCCAAGGAGCCCAGATAACTGTGGGCGGAGGGTCTTGGTGAGCGGGGTGGAATTTACAAAGGGGGACTCTGGGGGGTAAGGGTGATAAGAGGAACTAGGTGCAAGAG